AAATGTGATGCAAATGTGGACAGTCTTTTGCAGATAGACTTCATGGATCTTCACATTTGCCTAATAAAAAGACAGCGAGACACCACTTGACTGGTGACCAAGTCCATTTTTGTAGAGTAAGAGTAAACATTTCTTAAGGGCTAAAAATTAAGACACAGTATGATTTATGCATGGGATAATGTGTCAAGCATACCATCTACTTAAAAGGATTCTTGTTTATGAAGATTTTTGGAAACACACATTGATTGTCTTATGATTAAACAACTGCTTCAAGCAATGTAAGTTTAATTAAACATTGGTTTTAATAGTGTACTTTTGCAGCTGGAAAGGATAAACCTGAAAGTTGCTCAGAAACCTTTTTCTTTGTTATCACAGAGACAATAATTACCAAATAACATAAAAAAGATGAAATATAGACAATGTTATTTTTCTAGTCCCCATTCTTGCTAATTAAAAAATTATGCAAGTTAATTAACATATTCTAATAAGGCAAATTTTCCCTTCATGTTGGCATGTGCCACAGGAGTAGGAGAGAAATACACGCCACTGCATGCCAGTAGAACATAAAACATAATTATCGTCTCTTAACAGTGTGAGCAAAAGTTGATATGAATAAAATATACTTGCCAGTACTAACTGACTTTGCAAAAACTTATAATTAAATGGGAAAATTCAAAAGTAAGTTTTTCTTTGGTAGATTGGCAAATGGTTTTGGTCTTTTTCCCATATAGATCAGGTGTTGAGCCATGTCCTGGGCTTGCCACAAGCGCGGGGTGGGGCGGAGCGGGGCGTGGCGTGGCTTGGGTGATGGGGGCAGAAGTGGGTTCCTACCGGTTTGGACCGGTTCGGCCGAGTAAGTAGTAACTCAGCCAGCCACACCCCTGAACTTGTTCTATCGGTGGCGCCATAGGCACTGCCATCTTGTTTTTTTGCTTCTGCGCATGCACAGAAGCATTTTTTACGTACTGTGCATGCACGCATAGCACACATCAAGCAAGTGTGTCCCTGCGTGAACCAGCAGTAGAAGAAGCCAGAACCCACCCCTGGATGGGGGGGTGTCTCAAGAATGCACCAGTGATGGGGGAGGGGTGTCTCAAGAAGACCTAGCGGTAGCACGGCAAACATAAATGATCAGCTCGGCAGCCTCGCGGCAACAGAGACAGCAACGGAGCTCCGCTGAGAGGCGCGGAGGAGTGGCTAAGCCAGGAACGCTCCAAGCAGCGGTTTAGGCTGACAATCAGCTGGGTCGGAGCTGCGGCAGGTGAGCTACCAAGGTGAGGCCTGCACAGTGGAAAGGCGTGGCTCACCTATTTAAGGCAGCTGGGAGGCGGGCGCTCCCAGCGCTGACTTTGCATCAAACAAGACTTTGCTAACCAGACTTTACTGACTGCTGTTTTTCTGCTAAATGAACTCAATGCTTGCCTGAATCCGGCTGAATAAACCCAGTTTGCCTGAGGTGACCCCTACCTTGGTATCTCCCATGAACAGTGACTTCCCTATTCTATTCATCTGAAAATGTACAAGCTGGCATATACTCATTGTGCCAATCTATCTGGGCCTTCTTTGGACTTTGTCTTCTGCCTTCTGCCACGTGAACTTCAGGTTGCAGTGCTCAAACCTCCCCTGGAAGCAAACATATTGTAATTTTTTAAAGCTCATATTTCAAACAAGCTGAAACATTTCCCTTTACTTTTACTGTAATGCGCTCTACATGGGGCTGCCCTTGAAGGGTGTTCGCAGACTCCAGCTGGTCCAGAACACAGCCGCACGAGCGATCGTGGGTGCACTCAGGTACACTCACGTCACACCTATCCTCTGCAAGCTGCACTGGTTACCCATTAGTCTCCGGATTCGCTTCAAGGTGCTAGTCATTACTTATAAAGCCCTTCATGACATCGGACCTGGGTACCTGAGAGACCGCCTCCTGCCAATCACCTCCCATAGACCGATTAGATCACGCAGGTTAGGTCCCCTCTGCCTCCCATCTGCCTGCCAATGGCGGCTGGCGACTCCCCGGGGGAGAGCCTTCTCTGTCGCAGCTCCAGCCCTCTGGAACG